GAGTAAGAGTACTAGGAGCAGAATGTACTACAGGATGAATTAAAATCACAAAGCAGATTGGAGCTGTAGAGCAACAGGAGAGGCCGAGAAACCAGGGAGAGAGCAGTTACAAAAGGCCCTCTGTACAGTACCTGTGTTCTGTGGTTATACCACGTCACAGTCCCACACACCTGTAGCCCAGCAATTTAAAAAAATTAATAGATGCTTTTCATGAAAACTCTATACTCAAGCAAGAGAATTCCATACATGCTTTCTCCCCCTCCCATTACACACGTACTGGGATGAAGGCATTACTTGTTTTTCAGTTCGAAAAAGTCTGTGGATGTGCTTTGGGGCTGTCTTTGCACACGCAGTCCTGCACATCAAATTTAAATGTTTTTACTACATTGATCTGCAACAGAGTGAAGGAAGGAAAACTATTGATAGAAAAGTTTACAATGATCAAAGATGAAAAATACCCAAAAGGGCATGTTAGTGGTTTTTATATTGTTCTTTGAAATTCTTTTATTAATGATATTCATAGTTTATTCAAATGTATATTTTGATTCAAGTTGTATCACATTAGAAATCTGTTATATTTTTAATGTGCACTATATAACCACCCATCAAAATTGTGTACACTTTAATAGTAAAAGTTTTTTAACTATACTATTTGAGGCACAGTTATACACAGTATATATCTCTTATGTAGAGAGAGATGAGAGTGGGGAGTTAGCAAACTAACAAGCAGAGGTAAAAATGACCTACTGATCTAAAAAGCTCAGCAGAGTTTCTTTATACTTGTAAGTATGACTATCTTCACATTGTTCTTCTACATATATAACACAGATTCTGCATATATAGCCCACTTTAATAATTAAATTCAGTTCACAAAAAGTACCAATTATTTTCAATTACGACTGTCACCTTTATTCTCCCACAGCTGTTGATGGTAAAATTATTCACTTGGGAGTATGAAAGCCACTGATTGGTCACAGGCCTGACGACACTTTAACAGCTAGACTGTCCTGGCTTGGTGAGAAAGGGCTGCTTAATGCAAGCAGGGGGGTTTACATTAAGCGCTGCATGTAGTCCTTTGCTGTACTGTCACACACTGCCAGGAACATCAGCTCCCAGCTGGGCCTTGAATTATGTAAGAGGGACCCAGCTGCTGCAGTGTGAGCCCCCGCAGAGGCACCCGTCTCGGAGAGAGCGCTGGAGTAGCCAGACACCGCGGCCCCCTGCCTTCCTGCATACCATACCTGGACACACAGACCACTTATTCATCGCTCCGCCATCTCCGCCGAACTAACGCCGGCAGCACAGCGCAAGTCAACACGGGCTCAGGTTTCAGAAAACCAAAACTGCGAGAAGTTCCGCAGTTCACGGAACTCAGCTGACTGGTGATGAATCGTACCTTCCGTCCAATGCTTTGTGAACACAGAAAAGTGGCATCACTTCTCCCATTCTTTGCTGAGGTTCCCCATATCTCTGCACAACCTGGTGACATTCCGCCCCTTCCCTTCACCTGCTTTTACAGATGTCAGATGCTAAAGTGGTGTGTCTCCTTATTTCAGAAAACCGGATTAAATAAAATGCAAAAGGAAAAACATTTTTTAAAAATTGTTTTGTATGGTTCATTGTGCAAATAGGATTCTGAAAATGGTTCTTCATGAACAATTGTAACCATTTAAAGGGTAGATATTGTTTAAAGCTTATTCATAGCTTTTTCTTCTAATCAGATTGCAGATCTCAGTTACCAGATTTTACCTACTCATAAATTAATTAAACTGAAAATTTTATTTTGATGAGCTACATGAGACCAAAATCTAGAAAAAAAACAATCTACGAGCTTGATTTCTGCTGTACTTCCTCTGGACACCAAGGTCAGTTCTGCTAGCAAATCTTTCACTGGATTTGATCCATTGTGTATCACATTCTGTCTATGTTAGCATCTGAAATTCAGATACCGCTGTATAATACATCCTTTGTAACTTCAAGCCCTCAGAATCAAATGAAGGTCATTTCTTTCTTAAAAGACGTTCCAGAAAGTCTGCTGTTGTTTCAATAAAATTTAATTTCAAAACATTTTGACAATTCTTTAGTTACCCTGATTATATGAAGTGAGATTCCTTTAAGAAAAAATGCTGCTATACGCTGTGTGAAGTACAATTATACAGCTGTTTGCAGAAAAAAAATCTCACTTAGATTTTCTGAAGGGGCACAGAAGTATTGGGAGAATTTTCTTGTAGGCCACAATCTGGAACAAGGGTTGTGCAAATAAGGGGGGAGGGTGGGGTTAGGTCATTGTGGTGATCACTTCTCTTCTAGTAACTCACCTTTACCCTGTTTTAAGAGCTGAGTGTTGTTTTTCTTCTAAGAGATGGGTACTGGGTTTCGTTTCCAACAAAAGTGTCAGGAAATCTGCACATTGGTCAGAGACAGAAGTGTTACTGGGGCCTTGTGCTACTATTACATAAATTCCATTTATAAAAAATGACATCCTTTCAAATGATGGATAAATTAATCTAAAAACAACAACAATCATTACTTTTTAGACTGATTAATTACTTCATTTATTTTAAACACTGGAAACAGGAGGATCATGTAGTCTGTTTGGTTGTTACTAACCAAGAGATCCAAAGACCACATCTGGTTGGAAGTGTCTAGGGTATCAGCTTCAACAACACGGCTGGACAGCTTGCTCCAGACTCCTACAACCCTTTGTGTAAAGAAGTGTCTCTTGCGCTCAATTATAAATACACCTCCCTGTAGCAGCCACTCTATCTTCTGGTTTGTGTTTCACTACTAATTCAAAAGAAGTCAGAACTTCATCTCTTCTTAAAGACCTCAAACATACAGTTGTTTGCACAGCACTGACTACTGTATTTTTCCCCATGGTTACTCTACGCATCCTACATTAATTAAAAATATGGCACCAGATCACTTGCTTCTTTTTCTTTTACCCACTTCAATGTGGCTCGGACTGCAGGCACCTGGCAGGGATCAGTTACTCAGCCTCTCATCAGCTGAAAGGAACGGACAGGAGTCCCAGTTGTAGCGCAGCAGCAGGACCTGCTCAAAGTGGTCGTCACTCGTGCCTTTGTGCCGCTGTGTGAGAATCTGCCCGCCGTGGCTGTAGAGGCGTTCCACAGGCACGCAGGACAACAGCGTGGTGTTGTATTTGATGAAAAGATGCCTCACAGCGGGGTACTTTTTCAGGCAGCTGGTGCACTTGCTCGTGTCTAGTAGGTAGTTTCTCACCTCGCTCTCTATGCTGTTGTTGACCTCACCGTGTGTGGTGGCGAAGTTGAAGAAGTTGTCCTCCGACTCCGAGTCCGAATCGCAGGCAGCCTTGGGGTCGCTGTTGCCGTGCAGCTCCTCCTCCACGGCTGCCACTTCGGCCAGCATCTTTTCGGCCTCTTCCCTCTCGGCAGGAGGAAGCCACCACATCCGAAATTTGGGAATTGTGAGAGTGGCTATTTTGGCTTCCCGGCTGCCCAAGAGCTTCTCAAACTTGCAGTCAATGGCTTTGATGAGGGTGTCAATGAGGTGCGCTAAGAAGCGTACGTAGGGCTTTATTTCCGATAGTTTGGTCTTCAGGGTCAGGACTGTGGGCAAAAGATAGCCCAGGAAGCATTTTTTCTCTCCCTGAATGAAGTCCAGAGAGTAGGCGAGAGGCTTTAGCACTTCCACATATTCCTGGAGGAATAACATTTCTTCGGCCTGGAAGCTTTCCACAACAAGGAGATTGCAAGCTTCCTGCAGCTGTTCATCCGTTAACGATAAGATCTTCTGGATAGCACGATATTCGTGAATCCACCTCATGGCACTGGGAACTACCACCTTCATGCTGGCGATCTCTTCTATAAAATCAGCGGCTAAGCTTGAGTTATGGGCTTTCTGCCATATGGCTAAGCACTTTGCCATGGCACTTCTGTAAAGGCCACGTGTCGCACCCTGTGACAAGGCTTGGTGAACATCACTGGAAGCAATGAGCCCGAGGGTATTAGCAGCACAGCGCTGGTGTGGTGGGAGCAGGAACTGGAGCTCCTTTATGTCACTCTCCAGGATTTCATTCACATCTTCGAAGACTGTCTCATGGCGGTGCTCGGGCACTTCCTCTTTGTAGGCAAACTGCTGGAATGCCTTGACCAAACTGCTCCCGTTGTCGGTCACCGTGCACTGCAGTTTAACCTGGATGTTGAAATGCGAGTGAATTTCGTTGAGCTTTGCCACAAGGACGTCACAGGTGGGCCTTCCCTGCAGGGGGGAACACGCCAGAGCTACTGATTTTCTCTCCAGGGTGCTGTCATCTATCCAGTGGCAGGTCACTCCAAAATAGCTGCGCCCATTAGCTGTCCAGACGTCGGCCGTACTGCACACTGAATGGACTCCCATCAGCTCTGCAGCTATCGTCTCTTTCATAGACTGGAAAGCCCACCCGATCTTTTCCACTAGAGCTTTCTGGCTCATGAGGGATCTCCCAGGCTGGAGTCCTTCAATAAGTTTAACGAAGGAGGGCTGTTCCAAGACTGAGAAGGCCTGCACATCTGCAACAATGAAGTTGAAAACCAGGGCATTCACTTTCTTCTGAGTCACAGTCTTGAATGAGCTGGAAAGCTTGGCTAGCTTTGCTGGTCTCTCCTCACTGGTGCCGTCTCTGAGCTCTCTGATGGGCAACTCAGACTTGCTGTCAGGCAACTGGCTGACTTGACCCAAATCCTCCAAATACCTCTTGTGACAGGGAGTCTTCGGCACATAGCTGGCACAGGTATCTGGATGCATTCTCTGAAAAACATCAGAACAGCCACCAATGAGAGGAGGCCAGCTGGCCCTTTGACTCATCTGATTCCATGTTTAATTTTTCTACAGTTTCACAGTCAGTAACAACCCCCCACCACCACAAGAAGGGACAGTTAAGAGCAGCTGATCTACTGTAATCTGCATGTCTTTGGTGTATGAGGACACTAGGGCACTGAGCAGACAGAACATGCACACTCCACAAAAAAGGTCAGACAGTAGTCCAACCCCCCCCCACCACCACCACCACCACCACAGGCAACAGTGTTAAGGATGGATATTTTGACAAAGGCACTTGTTAAGCATGAATTAAAATTAAAAACAAAAGAACAAGCTCCTGAATTAACTTCTTCTATTCCGGAATTACATGTTGGTCTTACCTTTATAGTGCCTTTTAGAATAACTTTTTTAAATCTCTCAGACTGATCAAGCACATAAAATGTTGTAATAAAAAATATTAAAAACATGAAGTTTGCTTTGAAAACCATGCATGAAACCATTTCAATAAAACCCACTTTTAAATTTTAATTTAGCTTTCCACATTTGAATGTGAAACACAAGTTTTAAATTTATGCTATAATAAGGATATGATTCTCCAGTATACCTCAGTAGTGCATTCACCTATACATTTTTAATATGTGCTGAATTTAGAAGTCCTAAATGGGCAATTGGGTACAAATTAAAATAATAACCATCTCTATCATTAAAACTTTAACATTCATTTCATTTTTTAAATTGACATTCATTTTTGACATTTTGCATAAAAACCTAAATGGTAAACACCAAAAATAGTGCATTCAGTTTAGCTACCCGATCTTTAATAATAATAACAAAAATAACAACTCCTGGTAAGCTTCATTACAAAGCAAACAATTAACTACTTCCTGTATTCATTACATTATATACTTGTGCTGGAATTTGTATGCTGGAATTTGTATGCATGAAAACCGCATGTTCTATTTTTCAAGTGCATCATTCCTTTGAAGCGTTTATTGTGAAAAAGAACAAACCAGTTTTGTACGGAGATTATGGAGCCGGGGTACATAAACCAGTATTGCGTCATCATAAAGCATTCCAACCAATCAGAAGCGAGGAGCGCTGCATGATTCTGGCGTCATAATCGCAGCACGCTTTTTCTGAAATGCAGTATCGGGGCAATGTTTTCATCAGCTGAGCAGTACAGGCCTTACACGTGAAACCCTTTTCGTCTTCAATAGTCACGTAACACTCAGATAACGGCGAGATCTATAGCGTTTTATGCACACTGCCTTCCTTTCCGTGGTTTCACTGGAAACTCACCTTGCCCCATTTTGACATTCCTCTTAAATGCCAGCAATTAAAATCAATCAGAATCGACTCTTACCTCTAGATGTTTTTTTAGATTTGATGTTGAGTTCTTAGATGTTGAGAGTAATTTCTCTACCGGCTTGCATAGTCTGCACTGCACCGTCACGTTCTTGCCCTTTTCCTCCTTAAAGACGAACAGGGAAGCAAACTTCCAAGAGGAAAACGCGTTGCCTTGGTTTCCATTGACCTCCATTTCCATTAGCCCTCAGACTAAGCGCAGACAACTGGGAATTTTCTCTTAATAATGCCTTCTTTCTTTGCAACACCACGCGTTTTTAATTTATTTAGCTTCTAACGCCCCCCGCACAATCCCCCCGTTTTGAAACGCCCTTCTGTTATTGTTGCCGGCGTTGAGCTCCGTGTAGCGTCTGAGGGTCCTTGCTAAATCATATCCAAAAATACATGATAAATACTACACGAGTTCAACTAATACGTTTAATTTGTGCCTCCCTGTGAAATATCTGCTGTATGTAGGGTTTATTAATAGAATAAAACCGAAAAATGAGCAGTTGAAACGCACGTCCTTGGGCAAGCGTTGTAGTAATCAGATTACAGCTGTGGGTAATCCATTACCGGTACACCTCATAGCTGACATCCCTCATGCAAAACCACCTATCGCTGCAAGGAGAGAGGAGGGCTGAGGGGAGGAGAATGAGTGACAAAGGACAGGGTTTAAAGACACAGGCAAAAAAATATACAATAACCCAGAAAAATTGTTAGTTTAGCAGAAGTTAGTCATGTCATTACATAAACTACATTGTTCGATTAAATGCCCTGGGGGCAATTATTTTTTATTAAAAACCCTTCTGGCCTTCTGCTCTTTAGTGTCCTGTAAAAAGGAGGTACTGTAGGTGATAGGTTTTCTCTTGTTATGAAATAAAGATGTGCTGATGAAGGTCACCATGCATGGTTACTTTGCCAGACCGACCTTGACCTTATTATTTGGTGTCTAAATGGTGGGTTAATGTCGTCCACCATGAATTCATAGTGTTAAAAATAAGGTGAGAGAGATGAATGAATTTGTGACTGTTTATCTGCAATAAGATCTCATTTTCCAAGAGCAACCAAGGAAAAGTAGAATCCCGACAGCCTTCAACAGAATATTATTTATTACAACGTACGTAGAACCCTTCACACACATGCTGTAAAGAACATTATAAATGCAACGTTTAATACCAAAGGTTTTGCATTTTATTAAACAGAGGCTTTTGAGCTGCCCTCTTGAAGGTCAGGTAAATATTTTAATTTGAGCCCATGAAATTTACATCTATATCAGTCGGAAGATAATGTACTGTAGAACAAAACAGTGTGTTGGCTCTTTCAGTTTCCTGGGAGCCCTCAGGGGTGACTCTTGTTTGCTGACTTGGAATGTGGTTTACCCAGACAGCCCCAGCCCAGATAAAGCCAGTCAGAATCCCAGCTCCCACACGGCCTCCAGCCAGTACTTCCACGCCGCAGCCCATTGGAAGTTCCTCTGTGACGCTACGAAAAACTCGAGGCTCGTGCCACTGGGCTGCACAGTAAACTGAAACACAGTGGAGTGAAATCTCGCTGTGACAGTAATTGAAGAGTCCTCTCCGCTCCACTCACATAGCCGGTATAAACATCTCTGAAATTGTCTGAGCCTTCTTTGCTGTTCCCTGGGGCTACTTTTGAGCACATGTGCATGAAACCCAATTAAAATGAAAACTACTGTGCTGCAATACAAGCACCTTATCATTATGCTCAGGTCATTTTCATCAGGCCAGTGTTGTCAGTGTTTTGTTTTAATCAAACTGAGAAAGGGAAACCTTTTTCACATTTCACTAGCGTTTACTTTCCTGTTGCTCTAATTCTAATTAAATTTGGACCTGATCTTGCTATGTGGACTAGTATCAAGAGAGTTTGATCTCAGATTCCGTTTTCAACCCTGTTATTAGTACATTAAACAGAGTATGATAGGAGACTTAGGAGACTTTATTTTGTCTTTTCCTTTACTAATGAAAGGAACCATTCTGATATTCACCATATTTGCATTTAAAAGTTGCAAAAATTACACGTATGTAACCACTTTTTGTGTAATGCTAGAGACAGAGAACAAATGATTCCTTTAAAACATGTATTCAGAAGTTTCTTTCCTGAATCTCCTCTCTCCTCTCGCTAACTCTTATAAATAAATGTCAAGCTATACTGGTGTGTGATTGCAGCTTTGGGGTATCAATTAACAGCTAAAGATTTTGCCTCCCTGAAATTCTCTATGTGCAGAAAACATGGGCAACCTTGGGAGCAACATACACTTTCATCTCTCAATCACCACCATGAACCCAATGGATAACAGGGCAGATTAAAACTTGTTCAGATTCTCTGCACACTGCTTTTCTCTGGTTCGAGTGTGTGAAGGAGCCCTTGTTTAACACTGAGTGTATGCCATTGCTGTCTCCTGGGGTTCACTCTCACCTGCTTAGCTATATTTATTACTCTTTAAATATAGATGAGCTATTTAAGTTTTGCATACCACTTTCATTTAATAATGCAGGGCATCATTCAAATGGAATGGCAAGTTCTTGCTTTTACTAAGAACAACTACATCTACCCCACACAGTTTTCACACAACCCATTGGAGACCCATTGGAGACTCTGGAAACAAAATACACACAGCATAGTAAAATAAAAAGAGCTATCCTTGTGAAACACAAGAAGACAATAGGTGTCCACCAGTAGTTTTATAATCACATTGACAATTGCTGCTAGTCCTCCTGCTCTGTGGTGCGATTCCTCTTCATTCCTGCATTGCTTTGACTTTGCAGATACAAAATACTCAAGAAGCAGAGCATCTGTTTCGGGGCTGACACCAGATCTCGTTGGCAGAAATGGCTAGTGAATCATTTGGAATAACCAAGCAAATCTTACATTTCCCAGTCACTACGGATGGGATACAGAACAGTTTGGTTGGGTGCTGACACATCACTGTGGGAGCACAGAAAAGTAAATATCTTTGCAAACATTTAGTGGGGTCCGATGTAAATAGGGGGATGCAGTCCTTTGAACAATTTGTCCAAAGGACTGGCCTAGCTTGATGATGGCAATCAAAAGAAGACATTTGAGAATCATATGTTTTAAAATACAGATATCAGAGTGCAGACAAAAGTTTTGTTTCAAAGCTAGCTGAAGAGCAAATCGCTACAGTTTTTTTCTCTGCTCTTTCCCTGCCAGCAGGGTACAATTTGTGAAATTTCCACTGACAGAACGGAAAGGTATGCAAATTCAAAACCAACAGGAAAGTCTTGAGTGTGGAAAATATCAATCGCACATTTCATCATGAATGGGCGCAGGTAATGTCTGACACTATCAGCTAACACACACTTAGTACATTGAGTTTAGCCAATACTTAATCAAAGCAAGTATAAAAAAACACACACAGTGCAAAAAATCGCAATCCTGAAGAAGGGTCCACAGCTGAAACATTTTCATCTTACTTTCAACCTTTAAGTATGGAATAGATCTCTACTTGTTCCACAAGAAATGATCATTTTTTAAATAATATCAGCCAAGACAAACTAAACAAAAAGTTTTAAACTCTATCTTTACGGCTTTAAAAGTCCTCAAGCAGACAAAAAAATGCTAAAATGCCTTTTAAATAATATTTTAAGATTATTTTAAACTAATCAAGTGCTTTTCTAGGGAATTAATCAATCCTGTAAGGATTCATTTATTTTTAATTGGGGTTGTCTAAATTAGCCATTGTTTGCCTTGTTAACAGTTCTGCTGTTCCAAAGGGATTCTGTTTGTTGTACCCTGTGATGTATCATTACACACAACAGTACTGCTTGTATTAAGATGTTGAGCAATTATCACAGGGCAACTGCCAACTATGAAATCTTCTGTGTCCCACACACCTGCACTTTGCTATTGTGCAATGCACCATGAGAGTCTGGAAACCAGATAGATTAGAAAAATTATGATTAATCAATTAGGGCAGGGTTTTCTATTTGCACTTCTCCTGAATTATGCTGAAATACTTGAATTGTAAAAGTGGGAAAACAATCTAGACAAATGCTAATTTGATTTTACTTCATACTTTCTGGAATTTCCTTTGATTTGACTAGAAGTTTTTCAACCATTGTGGATATTGTATGTTATTTACAAAAGGCTTTTTAAAGATCTTCCTTACATCTCTGACATCTTACATGATGGAAATTAATAGCCCCTCTTCTACAGCAAAGTGAAACAGTAATCTATATTAGACATGTTGTTTTGCTCTCTATATAAAACTAGCAGAAAATATTATTTATATATTCTTGCCAGTAGAAATCTACTGAGCATCATTTGGAATGTATCACTTTTATATATGCAACAAATTCACAAAGTATTATGAGTAAAATATCAGACAGGTTGCTATCAATCACTACAGCACTCTGTACTGCCTAGACCTCCTGTGCACCATCACACTTGAACCTCCCTATCAACTAGTCTGTTATAGACAATTGACACGACAATCTGCACATCTGTGTCACACCTGCTGACGTCTATCATGGTTTACAAAAAGCCGTGGTTCATCGCTAAAGAGGACTTTGCTCCAATGCTGGCCAGTCTACCTGAGTGCTGCTCCAACACAATGAGGGCAGGAAGGCGTTGTTATCATGACAAACAGGCTATATTGTTTTCTCTTGTGTTCTTGCTTCCTTCATTCATCACAAGGCTCAATGTTCAACAGATGAAATCACCTCATCCCTCGTGCCCACTCTGTTCTCTCTCCGAATGAGGTTATTTAGAGTTTCAGAAGGTCAACGTCATTCGAGTGTTTGAGGATCAGTCATGAACGATCAATTCATCAAAATGACACCAAAACAACTATTCAATATCCAAAATCTCTGTACTTCAAATTTCAAAAGACACACGGGCATAAATAGAATGAATTTTCTCTTGATTTTCTCAACTTTCTCACATAGGCTCCAGCCTATTTATTAGCTAAAGCAGTCAGAAAATGGGTGGATGGGTACTTTTCTAATCACCAATGAATGGTTCAAAACCTGAAACTTTGGGATCTAAAATCGCGGAACTGCCTTCCTTGTTGTTCTTAGGATCCATCTCCACCCTGCCTGTGCAGAGCCTTGTGCCCTTATTAATGAGGCTTTTGTATCACCATGGGGTCACAGGTGTGCTTATCCTTCCCTTCCCTCCCCCGGCACCTTGCACACAGGCAGTGACTCAGCCCAGGCCTCCTGGGGGGAAGGCTGTTTGTTATCACACAGAACAGGAATGTTGCCAAGGTGTCAGGGACACTGTCAAAATGTCCTGACAGCCAATAAACAGAAACAGAGTTCTTTTTGTCGATTTTGCACAAAGCCCAACCTGTGCAGAAGCAGGCTGCTGTGGTTTTGTCAATAAGCGCTGAGCTGGAAAGGGAAGCGTTCGATCAGCTCTTCAGGAAACAAGAACGGGCAGATTCATTTCAGTCATCCTCCTGAGCAGCTGAGGGCACCGGCTTCTCTCTTCAGCTCCCCTAAGGTGCGGAGTGAGGGGTGCAGGGCACAGAGGGCAGTTTGTGAACTTGCAGTTGAACATGTGTCACACAGACACTGACCTCTCTT